ATGATATATCCCTTTTGTTCTGAGCATAATAACTAAGTGAAATGGAAAAATTTTTTTCTTAGATAATCCAACCCAGTTTCTGACAGGAATGTTACTCCTAGGAAACACTCCAATATTTTAAGACAATATTTTGTTTGAAAAAGGAAGGAGGACTGGAGGCGGGAGGATTGCCCTTGAACTTTTGGCCCCCAGAGGAATGTACACGCAGCCCTGCAGATGTGAGCCAAAAGCAGCTCTGATTTCTTCAGGGTTCCACTGGGAAAATTAGTGGGGTTTTTGTTTTTTGTTCTGTTTTACTTTTAGAAATGACTTCTTAATATATACTAAAAAGTGCTTGCTTAAAAACTCAGTAGTTGTTTTAGTTTTTATGTTAAAAAAATAGTTCATACAATGTTTTAAAAAATGTAATCAAAAATTAATTTGTGCTGAGGTTGAAATTCAGACACCAGCCATGCCTGGTCTAAGGATATATGTGGGTGCGCAGAGGCACGCTGAATTGGGTCACCATGCACCCTATTCTGAATGGATATATTAGGACCTCTGTTTTGGTGTCCTCAACCTTCCAGCCAGGGATGTAGCAGGAACCAGGCATTTCTCTTGATCATCTGGCCATATCCCGCAGGTGCCAGCCAGACTCAAAATTCCCTGGGGCACAGCAATGAGCTGATAACCAAAATTTTCAAGCCCAAGCATGTCGCGTGCTCCGAGTAGGTGTGCTTACATGAGCCCTATGAATAGGACATAATACTTCGATTAACCAGAGGATTCTGAGTGTTGTACCCAATTATGGCTTCGTAGCTCAAAGCTGCAGATGGCTTTAAAGTACTTCCGTCCGTCAACTGGAAAGAGTTTTGGGCCAAAGCCGAAATGTTGTTACCCTATTTCTTAAATTGCGTCTTTCAATACTCTGTTGGGTGTACATTGTTCTAGTTTAAAAAAAAAAAAAAATCTCAAAAATACATCAAAGTGCAAAAGTTGCATTTCTTATAAGTCCTCATGGGTTGTTCGTTGGTTAAAACCTCGTTTACGAATACCGTGATACGTTACACCACATATTTCCTAGGCATTTCACAGAGATTAATGTTGCAGAGAAAATGGGGAGAGTCTCTTGCGGTGATTACTGCCTTGTGCTCAAACTATTTGACTTTGAATTTTTTATGAGCATATCTTCTGTAAAAGTAGTATACATATAAAATATTGTCGTTACTTTTATAGTTTCTATCAAAGCCCATTTGAAGCTGGATGGCCCTCTTTTTTTTTTTTTTTTTTTTTGAGGCGAGTCTTGCTCTGGTCACCCGGATGGCGTGCACGTGCGCATTATCTCAGCTCACTGCAACCTCCCACCTCCCAGTGTCATCCAAGCGATGCTCCTGGCTCTCAGCCTCCCTAAGTAGCTGGGATTACAGGCGCCTGCCACCAACCCCCGGCTATTTTTCGATTTTAGTAGAGACAGGGTTCACCCATGTGGCCAGGCTGGTCTCAGAACTACCTGACCTCAAGTGATCCGCCTGGCTCGACCTCCCAAAGGTGCCTGAGATACAGGTGTGAGCACCTGTGCCCCCTTACTGCCCCCCTTTTAAAAATAACAGCTATATACAGAATTATTATATACCATAAAATGCCCCTTTTAAAGTGCCAATTCAGGTGTGCCCTTTCCCTTAGCCCCTGGCAACCACTAATCTATTTGCTTTCTGTTCTAGGGATTTACCTATTTCTGGACCATTTCATAAAGCATTTAAAGTATTTTAAATGTTTTCTATTCTTGTGAATCTACTCAGTATGTATAAAATTGAAAATATTAAAAATTTGTAAACATAGGTATTTTAAGTGCATTCACCAGTTGTGATCACCACTATCTAATTCTAGAACATCTTCTTATTGCCCTCAAAAGAACCAGTGCCCATTAGCACTCACTCCTAAACCCTTCTCCTTGGCCCTGGCAGCCACCAATCTACTTCCTGTTCTATGGATTTGCCTGTTTGAACATTTCATAAAAGTGGAACTATACAGTATAAGGCTTTTGTGACTGTCTTCTTTCATTTACCTACCTTCTCTTTGAGTTCATCCATGTTGTAGCATGTATCAGTACTTCATTCCTTTTTGGCCAAATAACATCCATTATATGTATAATGCCATTTGCTTATCATTAATTGATAGACATTTTGGTTGTTTCTACTCATTGGCTATTATGAATAATTCTGCTATGAACATTCATGGACAAGTGTTGGTGGGGACACATGGTTTCATATCTCTTGAGAATATAACGAAGAATGGAATTGTTGGAATATACAGTAACTGTAGGTTTAACATTTTGAGGAGCTGCCATAGTATTTTCCAAAGTGACTGCATATTCTGCCTGCAGTGTATGAGGATACTAATGTCTTCACATCCTCATCAGCACTTAAAAAAAAAAAAAGCCATTCTAGTTGTTATGAAGTGGTATGTCATTGCAGTTTTGACTTTGTTTTCTCTAATGCCTACTGATGGTGAGCATCTTCTCATGTGTTTGCCATTTGTATAGCTTCTTTGGAGAAATGTTCGTTCAAATCCTTTGCCTATTTTAATTGTGTTGTCTTTCTATTGTTGAGTTGTAAGCATTTTTTATATATTTGGGATAGAAGTCCCTTATTGTATATTGTCTTAGTCTGTTTGTGCCGCTGCAACGCAGGACCACAGACCAGGTAATTTGTAAAGAATAGAAATTTATTTTTCATAGTTACAGAGACTGGAAATTCCAAAATCAAGTTGCCAGCATGTGGTGTCTGGTGAGGGCTGCATCCTCTGGAGGAGAGGAATGCTGCGTCTTCACATAGCAGAAGGCATAAGGGCAAGTGGGGAGAACTTCTTTCATCAACTCCTTTTATAAGGGCACCTAATACCATTCATGAGGTACAAGCCCTCATGGCCTAATCGCTTGTTAAAGTCTCCACCTCTTAATACTACCACACTGGCAATACCTAAATTGGAAGAGACATATTCAAACCATAGCAGATACATTGAAAATATTTTCTCCTATTCTGTGGATTGTGTTTTCACTTTCTTAATAGTATTCTTTGAAACAAAATTATGTTTAATTTTGATGACCTCTAGTTTACCTTTTATTCTGTTATTTGTGCTTTTGGTGTCATGTCTTAGAAACCATTCGGAATCCAAAGTCATGAAGTTTTTTTTAACATTTATCTTCTAAGAGTTTTATGGATGTAGGTCTATGATTTATTTTAATTTTTGTACCTGGTATGAGATAGAGTCCTACTCTGTCATTTTCTATGTGTATATCTGGTATACCAGCACCATTTTTGAAAAGACTGTTCTCTGTTGAATTATCTTGGCACCCTTGTTGAAAAGCAGTTGGCCAAAAATTTAAGAGTTTGTTTATAGACTCTCAGTTGTTTTCCGTTGATCTACATGTCTGCATTTGATGCAAGTACCACACTTTATTGATCACTGTAACTTTGTAGTCAGTTTTGAAATTGGAAACTTCACATTTTCATTTTTCTTTTTCAAGATTGTTTTGGCTATTCTGGGTCTTTTGCATTTCCATGTGAATTTTAGGATCAGCTTGTCTATTTCTGCAAAAAAAAACAAAAAAAATCCACCTGGAATTTTGATAAGAATAATGTTGATTCCATAGGTCAGTTTGGAGAGCATTGCCGTCTTAATAATATTAAGTCTTTTAATCCATGAACACAGGATGTCTTTTCATTTATTTAGGTCTTTCATTTCTATCAACAATATTTTATAGTTTCAGTGTATAAGTCTCATACTTCTTTTTTCTCTTAAATTTATTCTAAGTACATTGTTCTTTTGATGCTATTATAAATTGTTTCCTTAATTTTTGGATTACCTATTGTAGTGTATAGAAATGTAATTGCTTTTTTTAATATACTGATTTTTATGTGTGTCCTGCAACCTTGCTAAACTGGCTTATTTGCTCTAATAGTATTTTGGGTGGATTCCTTAGGATTTTTATATACAATGTTATGCTGTCTGTGAACAGAAGTAGTTTTACTTCTTCCTTTCCAATTTGGAGGCCTTTATTTTTTCTTACTTAGTTGTCCTGACTAGATCCTCCTATATAATGATCTTAAGAGGAAAGCATTCAGTCTTTGACCATTAAGTATGATATTAGCTGTGAGTTTTTTTGTTGATACTCTTTATCAGGTTAGGAAAATTCTATTCCTAGTTTTTGAGTGTTTTTAATCATGGAAGGGTGTTGGATTTTGCCAGATGCTCTTTCTGTGTCTATTGACATTATCTTGTGTGTAGTTTTTGTTCATTATTCTGTTAATATGGTATATTACAAGAATTGATGATTTTTGTACTTTGAATCCTCCTTGCATTCCTGGACAGATCCCACTTGGTCATAGTATGTGGTACTTATTATATGTTGCAGGATTTGGTTTTTTAGTATTTTATTGGAGATTTTTCCATCTATATTTGCAAGAGATATTAGGTCTCTAGTTTTCTTATGTTGTCTTTGGTTTTGGTATCATCACAATACTAGTCACATAGCATGAGTTGAGAAGTGTTCCCTCTTCTTTGCTTTTAAAAGAGATTATGAAACATTGGTGTTAATTCTTCTCATCAGTGAAGCCATCTGAGACTGGGCTTTTCTTTGCAGGAATTTTTTTTTTCTGCTAGTCCATTCTCTTTATTTGTTGAAAATAGGTCTATTCAAGTTTTCTATTGTTGCTTGAGCTAGCTTAAGTAGTTCATATTTTTCTAGGAATTCATCCATTTTATCTAGATTGTCTAATTTGTTGGCTTATAATTATGCATAGTATCCCCTTATAATCCTTTTTGTTTTTGTAGGAGTAACAGTAATGTTTCCCCTTTCATTTCTGATTTTAACCATTTGAGTCTTCTCTTTTATCTTTATCGGCCTAGCTAAGTTTGCCAATTTTGTTATCTTTTCAAGGAACCAACTTTGTTTTGTTGTTTTTTTTAACTTTTCTGTCCTCTGTTTCTTTTATTTCCATTTGTTGGCTTTTGATTTTAATATTTAGTTCATGTATATTTAATGTAATTACTCATGAAGTAGGAGTTACATCTGCGATTTTGCTATTTGTTTTTCATGTGTGTTTTGTCCCTCGTTTTTCTATTCCTTCATTACTACTTTTTTGTGTGTTAAATATTTCTAGTATGTCATTCTAATTCCATTGTTGTTTCTTTATTGTTTTTTAGTGGCTTCTCTGGGGATTATAATTAACAACTTAATTTAAAATAATATAGTTAAATATTATTTGAAATTTTAATTTCAAATAGTATACAAAAACTTTACTTTGGTATAGATCTGTTCCTTCTCTACTCCTTTGTGGTATTATCATCATGCAAATTACAACTCAATGCATTATAAGCTCACCAACAGTTTAATAATTGTTGCTTTGTGTCGTTTAAATAAGATAGAAGAAAATAGTGACATACAAAAATATGCTTACACTGCTTTTTATATTTATATATGTAGTTAGCTCTATTACTGCTTTTTATTTCTTGAGGTGGATTTGAGTTACTGTCAAGTGTCTATTTAAGCCTGAAGGACTCTCTTAGTATATGTTAAGTGTTTCTTGTCCGTAATGCTTGGGACCAGAAGCATTTCAGATTTCAGATTTTTTTTCAGATTTTGGAAAATTTGCATTATACTTACCATTTGAGCATCCCAAATCCAAAATGCTCCAGTGAAGATTTTCCTTGAGTATTATGTCAGCAC